ATGTGCATGTATGTATTTATGTTGTGCATTGATTCAGTACATCACACAGTTGAAAGCACAGGATGGTCAGCACCCTTCTGCTTCTGTCACTTTAACTGTGTAATATGGAGAACTTCCCTATTGTCCATATAAAGTCACCTGTTAAGCAGCTGCTCTGGTAGGCATTTAGTTTGTTTCTAATCTCTCTGATAAACAGGCTGCATTGAATAGCCCTGCAGTGTGACATTGCCATCATCAGCACCCTAGGGGTGGTATATACATGGAGAATAAGTCCTACTAGTGGGATTATTCAGAGATGGGGCGGGGGGCTAATGCTCCACAGAGACTACCTACAGGATCTAAATTCTCCCCTTGTTTTTTAACCCAGAGTGTCATCATATTCTTTACTCTCTGCCAATATTTTTTCTTGATAAGGTAAAAATTGGGACCTCTATGAGAAATTACATTTTTCTTTGATGACCATGAATATCTTTTTACACATTGAAGAGCCTTCTGAATTTCCCTTTGTATGAACTGTCTATTCATGTCCTACATCCATTTCTCTCTCAGGCTTGTTTGTTTTCTTTTTGTTGTTATGATTTTAAGCTTTTGACCTGTCAACTCTCCAAGTTTGCTGTGGTTGGTACCAGTCAATGGAGGTTTTTGGTTCTTGGTAGATCCGTAAAGCAAGAATTCAGAGCCAGCAAAGAGGATAGGGGTGAGGCCAGTGTATTTCCTTGCCAGATGGTAGTGATCAAAGGATTTGGTGACTGTGGGAACACTCTAGACATCACGTAGCAGTGTTTAGATGCTTCAATGACACAGCATTTGCCAGACTGAGGAGAGGTTTGGGACCACATGTGGCTCATGTTAAGTGCATCTCTGGACATGTGCCTTGATGGTTTTGTTGACACAACCCTGGAGAGTTGTCTTTGTGGCTTTTAACTAAAGGGCCATATGGTGAAAGTGCAGCTTATTTTTTTGCTGGTAAATTTACTATTTTTCTTCTGTTCATCTGTATTTTCATTCCAGAAAATGGAACAAGATATCTTCTTTTTCTATAAATCAGCCTGTGGTCCAAGTTTCCAATAAAGGTCTAAGTGGATACTTAATAAATATTTGACCCAAAAGGCAAATACCTCAAGTATTTAGCCTTCCTAAAGATACACACATTACTGCAGCATTTCTCAAACAATATTAATAAGTGTTCAGTGATGACCTAAAAATATGCTCATGATCACATTAATTTTGAAAAGATGAATTAAATAAATTTCTTTACTCCAGGGCTTCTCAGAGCCTTTAATGGTTCAACGCATCCATTTCGTGTCTGAGAGAGGGATGCACAATTTTGCAAATGTCTTTTTGACCACAGAACACCATTTTCACATTCTGTAAGATCTTTGACTGAAATGCTACTCAAACAATTAGCTCAAATCTCAGGAAAAAATTAGAAGAAGACATCACTTTGTTTGCCCATTGATTTGTCTGAATTAGGGCAAACACGGAACCTTAACTGGAAATAGGGTTTTCGATTACTTGACTGCAACAGATTTGTGAAATTAAGTAGAAAGGCTCTTGTGGTTAAATCTCAGATATGAAGACACACCGGTGATTTTCTCTGGGCTACCCTAAGTTTTATCAAACACGTCAAATTAAGAAGCCAAGGCCATACCTCGTAACCTCGAGATGCTCCTACTTGAGGTCAGAACCATGCTTCCTCTGAGACTTCCAAATCAAAGTGGACTGGGGGTTAGGGTGTAGTGCAGAGACTAGATAGAGCAACCAGCAGATGGGGGCTTAATTACCAAGTAGATTTACAGAGCCACATGGGGAACCACAGGAAGGCTGGGGAAGCTTGTGACATCCAGCTCATTAACAGGATGGCTGTTCTTTGGTCCTGAGTATTTAAGATTGACTTCAGACCATTGTCATGGGGCCTTTTCTCTCTTCTCCAGGAATCTCATCTGGTTTTCTGCTCAGCCTTTCTGACATTTAATATGGCATCCTGGTATTCTTAGAGGTATTCTAGAACAATAGTAGCCAGGTTATGTCACCAAGTCATCTGCTAGCTCGAGTACACCATTAAGAGCACATATATTTATAGATTACCATGAAATAGAATGGATTCAAGATTACCCTGTGTAATGTCTTTTTCTTTTTCTTTTTTTTTCTTTTAACTTATTTTCCTTTAGAGCACTTCTTGGAGTGGGAAAGAAATGTTCTGATTGCAGACATTATTATAGTGCTCATGGGTTGGCTTATGGTTCCATTTCCATTTTCCCTTTTGATAAAAGTGCACTTGAGCAGAAAGATGCCAGGAACATTTCTATTTGTCACAACATAACACTTATGAATACCCGATGAGTGGCAGCTGAAATCGTGCAAGAAAAGCATTCAGTAACAGTACTGTGGTTTAAAAAAAGTAATCAGGTTAATTATTTGCATTCTTCAGTAGTCCACACTTGAACCTCTTACAGTATTATCTCTATTTCCTAGGGAGTAGGAGTCGGAAAAATGAGCCATTTAAAAAGTTGAGATGAAATATTTTCAAAAGTATGATGTCTTTAGCTTTATAATAGCCCTAAGATTGATCATTTTATAATTCCTTACTTGTAAATGCTCTTTAATATATTTCCCTTCTCCAAAAAATGGTTGTGCCACACTGGTAAATTTTATCAAAACCTGTTACCCACATGTGGATTTAAAGAATCACTCATGTGCATGCACTTCATCAAGGGAAATTCATGTGCATGCCCTTCATGGGGAAGCCAATGCTGACAGGTTCTTACCTGGGATTTTCTTCTTACTAGATGGCACCCTTGTCTACAGCCTTCAGTAGCAGTGTGTTTGTCCTCCGGAGCATAGTCACACATGGGGGCAGCAGGAGAGAGGTTAAACCTGTCCTAAGCCACCCTTCCAAGTCAATGCTTAGGTTCCACAGATAGGTCACCCATTTTGGTAGAAAGGGAACAAGTCGAGGATAAACTGCCCCTCAGCGCTTGTGGATTTTGCTTTTCCTAGTCATGCAAAAGGTATCTGGGGTGTTACTGGGTGTAAAACAGATGGATATAAGAATAAGCTTGGCATGTTCTAGTCTCGCCCAAGAACCACTCTAGGAAGGAAAGGAACACATGGCACTCATGGCCTCGGGGTGGAGCAGTAGTGGTGATTGTTGTCCTGGCTGGTGTGGCTGGGATGTAGAGCAGGTGTGTGGGAGGGGGGCTAACATTACCCCTCTTCATGAGAATGTGTTCACTCCAAGTGCACATGTGCCTCATCCCCATGGTCAGAGTCAACCTCACCCCTGGGAGGCTGTGGAGGGACAGCTGAGGATGAAGATGTGTATTCTGGGGGTGGTAGCCAAAAGAACAGGCCACAGAGGGTCATTAAGGATAGCTACTGCTGAGGGGTGAATTTCTGTCAAGGCCCGTGTCCTAGAATGTGACGGGCAGCTGCAATCACTCCCTCCAGCTGGGACTGTGATTTTCAAGACCCAAAGGCAGAGGCAGAGCTGTCGAAGGACTGCTGTGAGTGAGCAGTGCAGTGGCTTGTTCAACATGTCCAGAGGGGCCACCTGTCTAAGGGGAGGATGCTTCAGACACGCAGACACAAGGGAACAACTTCATTCAGATCGACAAAAGAGCAGAAATGATCAGCGTGCACAGCTTGGTCCTCAGGGAAACCTGGGCCTTGAGTCCACTGTCGGATGTCATACTGTTGTCCTATGAAGAGCATGCTGGGCATGCCCAACCACCAGGGCAGCAACCACAAGTCTGTAACAATCTCCAAGTGAACCAGGCTCCCTCTCTTGAAGCTTTTAAAGATCTCTGGTCATGACCCTGAGAAACAGTGCTACTGGTGAAGTTTGCCACTGGCCAACTTCCTGCTGTAGCTCCGTCTCCCTCCAGACACATGGAAAGATATTCCTGGCCTTGGGGGGAAATGTGAAGCGTCTGTTGGAAGGCTATAGCAGCTGGGGACACTTATGGAGATGCCTGGGTTTAAGGCAAAGATAGGAAGAGTCCAGTGACCACAGAGCTCTTGGGAGGATCTCAGGATGGAGCTTGCACCAAGAGCCTCTATGCTGGATGATAAATATACAGAGGTACACATGGAGGCTTGGACAGAGTTGGGGACTATTCTATTAAAATAGGAGCACAGTCTTCCAATGACTGTGAGGCAAACCATCCCAGGGAGAATCAGGCTAGCAAAGTCATGTGGGGCAGAGAGGTGGGAAGAAACATTTTATGGGACTTTCGTTGGGTGAGAATGTTCTCCCCCACAGCAGACAAGCTTTCTCAAGTTCCCTGGAATCTAGACACAGCAATGGAATGGACGGAGTCCATTCAGAACTTGGAAAGACATTGAACTTGATGAACATTAGTCATCAGGGTGAGGCAGTGCACAACACTGACAGGTAACCTCAGGACTGAGAAGTGTTGAATTAGGTGGTGATATCCTTTTCCTTTGATTTATTCAATCATTAAATATTTAATGCCATATAAATTTTACAAACTATGTCAGTAAGATTGAAAAAATAATAATTTAATTGAGCTGTGACCTTCTAGGGCTCTAGTATTTTTGTTTGGGTCATGTTTAGATGAGGATTATTCTTTTCAAATTCTAGTGTTCTGTGAACACCTGGTCAAGTCACAACCTGGATATTACATTGATAGCACTGCTGTAACAAAGTACCACAAGCTGRGTGGCTTAAACAACAGAAATTTATTTTCTCACAGTTCTGGAGCCTGGAAGTCCAAGATCAAGGTACCACAGATTTGATTCCTTCCAAGGATGGTGAGATCAGGATCCACTTCAGGCCTCTCTTGGCTAACAGATGGCCTTCTTCTCCAAGTGACTTCATATCATTGTCTCTCTCTCTGCATCCAAATTTCCCCTTGTTACAAAGACATTAGTCATATTGGATTAGGACCCATTCCGATGACCTCACTGTAATTTGATTCCCTCGGCAATGACCCTGCTTTTTCTATTTACATACTTTTTCTCTTTCTCTTTTAAAGATTGCACTTGGCAAGTTAAAGCGAATGATCGAAAGTACCACGAACAACCTCATTTTATGAACACAAAGTTCTTTTGTATTAAGGAGAGCAAATATGCGGTGAGTTGATTCCTAAGTTATCTGTATTAAAGCCATTTTCTCTAGTTGCTATCATGCTTGCCAGCCTCAGGCCGCACCTGCCTTCCAAGTAACCACTAGCCTGGGTCTGTTGATAATCCTCCTTAGTTGTATAAAATCCATTTTTATTGACGCTTATCTACCCTGACTATAGGTAGAGAAGACTTGAAACAAGTCACTATAATTAGATTGAAACTTTCCCTAGGTGTGTGCAAAGCTCTCTTAAAAATGTTTTATAAAAGAAGATAAAATAATGTCACCAAAACTTCATGTTGGAAAGTAATGAATTYGAAACAAATCTTAATTACTGATTTTTCTCCCTCCTTTGCCTAAGATGGGCTTAGAGACTTTAAAGATTTATTTTCCACCTAAAATAATACTGATTACTTTTGCAATGAAACACCTGTTAGGTGTGGGCTTGAGGGCCACCTTAACAAACCACAACTGGGTGGCTTAGAACAACAGAAGTTTGGGCTGGGGATGTGGCTCAAGCAGTAGCGCGCTCGCCTGGCATGCGTGCGGCCCGGGTTCGATCCTCAACACCACATACTAACAAAGGTGTTGTGTCTGCCGAGAACTAAAAAATAAATATTAAAAAAAAATCTCCCTCTCTCTCTCTCTCTCTCTCTCTCTCACTCTCTCTTAAAAAAAAAAAAAAAAGAACAACAGAAGTTTATTTTCTGACAGTTCAGGGAGCTAGGAGTCCAGAATTAAGATGTTGGCAGGGTTGATTCTTCCTCCAGAGAAAGTCAATTCGGAGCCTCCCTCAACTTTGGGTGTTTGCCACAGTCCCTGGTATTACCTAGTCTGTAGATACATCCCTCTGATCCCTGCCTCTGTTTTCAGGTGGCATTATCCCTGTGTGTCTCTGTGTCCAATTTTCCCCTTCTTATAAGGACACCAGTCTCCACCTTAGGGTTCAATCTAATCCATTATGGCTTCATGTAGATTGTATCTGCAAAGACCTCATTTCCAAAGAATACTCCATTCACAGGTTTTGGGATTAGGACTTGTAACTTTTGGGGGACACGACTCAATCCAGAAGATTGTCTTAGACTCTTTCTTCCATGGTCTTCTTCATTCCCCCTTTAATAAAGGTATTTGTGTTTCTGACCTGCTTGTGTTGACATCTGCCTTCAACCATTTTCTAAGAGGCTGTCATGGGTCAAAGTATTGAGGGCAGGATCATAAGGCTAGTCTCACATCTGTATCTTGTTCCTCCTTCTGACATAAGACTCCAAGTAGTCATTCTGAGGCCTGGCTAGAATTAAAGGCTTACAGGAAATCAGCATCTTTCTGAAGGATGGCCCTGGGTCACTATAGGCCATGGGATATAGTGACTTTTACAGGTATGGAGATATATGGCACCATTTAGAATAACTTTCTTATTTTTTTCCAACAGAGTAATGCAATTAAAACATACAAGTACAACGTACTCACCTTCCTACCAATGAATTTGTTTGAACAGTTTAAGAGAGCAGCTAACTTCTATTTCCTGGTTCTTCTTATCTTGCAGGTAATGCCCTTTGGTATCTGAAATCTGTGTGAATCATGATGACTTTCTAACATTAAGTTTTGAACACATAATGTGGACAGTTTTGAAACTGTTCTGTATTAACAGCTTTCTACACAAGGAAGTAGTGCCTCACCCACAGAACCAGCTCACTCAGTGTTTGAACAGGGAAGGAAATGCATGGAAATCGATTCCAGTTCTATTTTTTTTTTTTTAGTTTCATTTCTTATAATGTATGTGTTGAAACTGATATCCCCAAAGTGAATAAAACTAAAATCTTCACTTTGTAGAATTATTTGTAATGAAACCTATTTTTTTGTGTTTGTCCTCTATTTTTGTACTTAGTTGCCTAATTTCCCTAAGAATATTATTGATTTTTATTAATATTTTGGTCGTAAGTTTATGTTATAATTTACTTCATTTGGAAATACCGGGGAAATGAACCCAGGAGTAATCAGTGACTGAGCTACATCCCAGCCCTTTTTATTTTTTGGTTCGAGACAAGAACTAGTCTTGAACTTATGATCTCCCTGCCTCTGCCTTCTGAGTTGCTGAGATTACAGGTGTGTACCACTGTGCCCAGCTCCAAGCTTATATTTTTGCAAACTGGTTTTTAATATAAGAAAAAGCCTTCTTTCTGATGATGTTTTTAATTGTGGCAGAGGATTCATTGTTTGTAAAGCAAAACTTCTATCTGTGTAGAAACTGCTGCTGTAATTGATGAAATGAGTCTACCTTCGGTACCTGACATGTGGGTCACAAAGACCATGTGTAAGAGTTGGATTTGGAAAACAGCTCTCCTGCTGGGATTCCAGCACTAAAGTTTTATAAAATGGTGTGTCCAGGGGAGGAATGAAGTGGAGAGGAGAGAAAGTAGAGAAAAGACACTCAGGAGAAATGGACACTCAACAGATTTGGTAGAACACAAACCCACTGACTTGTCATAAAGGATGGTCCTGCTGTTGAGGGGCGTGTTCAGACAGGTGTGTGAACAGATTACAAGCTACTACTGTGTGGTCAATGGACTACTTTTCCTTTAATTCTTTAAAGGGGGGAGAGATTCCCATAGTCACAGTGCTGCGGAAATGACCTTCCTCTCCCTGAGCTGCACCCCAGTCTCCTTCTCTTAAGGTGCAGCCATCCCATCAGGATAATAGCAATAGACTTAGCGCTTTCCTTGCCTTTCTTTTATTTATTTATTTTTGGGGGTGGTGCTGGGGTTTGAACCCAGGGCCTTGTGCCTATGAGCCAAGCACTCTACCAACTGAGCTATATCCCCAGCCCTCGTTGCCTGTCTTTTCATTGTTTCTTCACTGGATTCATGTACTCAATGAGGTAATGTAGACTCCATTTTGCAGAGAAGAACTGAGGCCCAAAGAGGCAAAGTAATTTGCTCCGAGGCCCAAAGCCTGTGTGTACAGAGCCCAGCAGGACTGGACCTGGGAATTGAATTTCAAATAACTACCACATGATGTGGCCCAATAATCAACAGGATGGTCACAAGAAATCTTTTCAAACTTACTTTCCAAATTTCCATTCAAGCTGGGAGGCTGTCTTGATGCAGGTAGAGCTTCCTGTTAGGCCAGCCCCTTTCTGGGCTGTACCAATAGCAATGATCATGCTCCACCTAATCACCAGCTTCAGAGTCAGCCACTCCTTGCTGCCACTTTGCCTGCATCACAAGGCCCACAGAAATCACTGTCTGAGCAACTACTCTGTACAGCCTCCATGCCTTCCCTGAAAGTTAAGCATGAACCCCTTCAGTTAATTATGATTCCCACAAAACTTCAGAGCAGTTCACTTGTCATTATCATGTCAGAAATCTCCCTTGATGTCCAGTGAAAGTCACAGTGTGATCATTTCAGGAGCCGTTGTCCTCCAGGCTCTGTTCCAGATGACCAGAAGCTAGAGAGAATCACCAGAAAGAGGTTGGGTGCTTCAATACCTTTTTCCTATGTGTTCTACAGATGTAGACTTACATGATGCTGGAAATTAGAACGAGCAGCTTGGAATCAGCCATCAGTTACCTGTAAGTCAGCTCTGCCTTCATGTATTCAAGCCTTTTTATTTCGTTTAGGCAATTCCTCAAATCTCTACCCTGGCATGGTACACCACCCTTGTCCCACTACTTCTGGTACTTGGCATCACTGCAATCAAAGACCTGGTGGACGATGTGGTAAGAATTTCTCATGCAAATTTCCACTTCCTGCTCTAAGCTTATTCTACTTTGACATTAATCCTTTATGTATTAAGATAATTAAAATAACATTTCTTCATTTCTATTTTAAAGGCTCGCCATAAAATGGATAAGGAGATCAACAATAGAACATGTGAAGTCATTAAGGATGGCAGGTACTTTGTCTCCTCCKTTATAAGGATGCAATGTATGTCTGCATATTTGGATAGAGCTATTAAAACCTGGAAGTCTATGAGTACTTTTCCTTCTTCACCATGAATCCATCTTTTTTTAGGGGATGGAGAAGGGTGTACTTGGAATTGAACTCAGGGACACTCAACCACTGAGCCACATCCCAGCCCTATTTTTTATTTTTTATTTAGAGACGGGGTCTCACGCATTGCTTAGTACCTTGCTGTTGCTGAGGCTGGCTTTGAACTCATGATCCTCCTGCCTTAGCCTCCCAAGCCACTGGGATTACAGGTGTGTGCCACCTTGCCCAGCTCCATGAAGCCATCTTAATTTACAGAGACATTGGTCCTCCTTCATGGCCTGTAGGCTAGACCCACATTGGACTACGTGTGAATGCGTGTTGGGCTTCACGTTGTCAGCACATCAGCATTTACATGACTCCTTCAGCCTGCAGTTTGCTGCTTTCACTTCCTTGTTCCCAGGCTTATCCCTTCAGGGCTATGCTCATACAGGATGTCATGACACGTTTCCTGGTCCCCCAGCTAAAGTGATTCTACCCCATACTTCCAGAGCATTTTATTTTCATTATGACATAAATTGTATTGGGATTATTGATGTGAGCATCTCCCCTTTGTCTTGCRCTGTTAAGTTCCTCCAGGACACTGTCCCACCTCCAGCATGCACAAAGTGCTCAGTAAATGTTTGTTCAATGAATGCAGTCAGCGGTGACCGAGACACCAGACATCAACTCAGGGATCAGTAATGAGTTGTTTCTTGAGCAAGAGCCTCAAGGTAAAATTGCAAATTCAAGTGCTAAAAACAGTGACTGAGGCTCAAAAACTTTTTAAAATGTGTTGACACTGAGGAAAACAACCCAGGTAGCCATGCTTCCAATCTGTGTCTAATTCAAAAATAGACACCAATAAACTCGAAATATGTTGACATGGCTTTTTTTCTTCTTGAAGATAAATAGATTCTGATCTAGAAGTTCCCTTCCAAATCATTTAGAATCAATATTGTGAATAGTGGTGAGATACATAAACACCACACGACTCTGTTTAGCTAACGGCATGCCTAACCGCACAGGTGGAGTAGCTGTGAGTTGACTTGAATTTAGAGTTAGGTCAAATCTTGACCCCTGCAGTGGGTCAAGCCAGTAAGAACTTGGGCATCAGTGGGGCAGGGCACAGGGCCTCATCATGGGGAACCAGAACATCACACAAAACAGTCCACCAGATAGCGTCTAGTACTTTCAAAGAGCTGGGACAGAAAGGTGCCAATGTGCCATTTTTTTTTCTTTTTGGGGTGCGGGGGTACTTGAGATTGAACTCAGGGGCACTCAACCACTGAGCCACATCCCCAGCCCCATTTTGTATTTTATTTAGAGACTCACTCTCACTGAGTTGCCTCATTTTTGCTGAGGCTGGCTTTGAACTCACAATCCTCCTGCTTCAGCCTCCTGAGCCACTGGGATTATGGGTGTATCCCACCGTGCCCCTCACCACTGTGCCATTTGTAATTTCATATTTATACACAAATTTCTAATTTACACTCTTGGAGATATTGAAATATGAAATAATTTCATTTGTTAAAAGATAAGCCAAGTTTAAAAAGTCCTGCAGTTTGGAACTATGTAATAAATTCTCATAAAATTGGGAAACTAGGGCATAAGCATATATATATATATATAATGACTTTCCAATCTCCAGGTTTGTTTTATCCATAAACAAATTGGAAGACAAGAATAGTAATTAGATTTCTGTCTCCAAAATAATTGAAATGATTACTTATGGTGGGTTCATCATGCCCATTAGTTGTATCTTTTGTATTTATAAAAATGTTTGGAACTTTTTAAAATGTTGACTTGTTAGAAATTTAAATGGGAATTTCCTTTGGAGTTTATTACTGAAGATAGTCATCTTTTACTTTATTTATTTATTTTTTTTTATCAATAGCCTCATTAGATTTACTGTAAAAGTGGTACATACCCATTAAGGAGATAATTTAAACAATGGAGAGGAAGCCAATCTTAAAGCCCCATGAGGATTCTTGGTGGCCCATGGAGGAGCACTCATGTGTGTCTGTCCTGGGGAGTGAGTGATGGATGACCTAGAATAGGGAGGACAGGAGAGGAAGCAGCCCATGAGCAAAACCTAAAGGGGGCACCAAGTATACCCAGCCACGTGTGGACATGGCCCCCAATGGAGGCATGAGGCAGGGTGGAAAGAATATCTTGATGTATTGGTCACATCACGTTGCTTCTGGCAGAGACAAATACGATCCTCAAGACCATTTCCAGTACTTACATCATTCAAAGGGTGAACTTCTAGCCAACATTTTCCCTGTGGTTTACACAACTTCCAGAATCTTTGACATCTATAAAGAATGGCAGGTCCCTAGCCTAAAACTTAGAAAACCAATAAACTTTTTTTTAAAAAAACAGGGAATGGTACCTAGAGCTCTACTGTTGAGTGATACCCCAGTCCAACTAACACTATTTTTGTTAAATATTTATTTTTTAGTTGTAGTTGAACACGATACTTTGATTTATTCATTTTTATATGGCGCTGAGGATCGAACCCAAGACCTTGCACCTGTTAGGCAGGTGCTCTACCACTGAGCCACGTCCCCAGCCCGACAACTGACATTATTTTTAACACTTAGGTTTAAAGTCACCAAGTGGAAAGACATTCAAGTTGGAGATGTCATTCGTCTGAAGAAAAATGATTTTATTCCAGTAAGTGAGCAAGTTCCTTCTCTCTTGTCCCTGCCCACCCCTGGCTCGTGCTCAGGTCACCTTGGGGACCCTGTGTGATAGCTGCCTTTTGTTTGGAACAGGCTGACATCCTGCTGCTGTCCAGCTCTGAGCCCAACAGCCTCTGCTATGTGGAGACGGCCGAGCTAGACGGGTGAGTGCGCCTTGGATGAGCCTGCTTCAGCGTCGGCCTTGAGGGCGTGGTCATGACTTTCAGATCTGTGCACTCTGGGCAGGGGACCCTGCCATCTGGCTCTGCCTCTGTCACTTGCTGGCAGTCTGGCAGTGTCCCCTGTACACTGGCCTCTTTTCCCCACCCTTAGAGTGGACTGTCCACCTTTCCCTACTTCTCAAGGAGACCACGTGCCTAGGCCCCTGGTGAATTGCTGTGGTGTCCAGACAAATGGAAGTGACTGTGGATGTTATTATCTGTTTCAGAGAAAGGAAAAGGTTTTTAAAAGTCTTTGCCATTAGGTAATTTCGAATTCTCCCTTAGTTGTTATCACTTCAGAGAGAATGATATTCTGTTTGGGACTGGTTCTCAATATATTTATTAAGTGCTTAAGAGGTCAAAGGCACTTTGCCTATTAGCTTATTTGATTTTTAAAATAACTTTATGAGAAGAGCATTATTATTACCTCTACCTTCCCCATAAGGAGACGGAGGCCCAGAGAGGTGAAGTAGCCTGCCCAAGGTCACACAGTAAGTGGCAGTTGGGACCCTGCTCCCTGCGCCCTTTGCTCTTCACACCCTAGAGATGCACCTGCCACTTATGGAGAGCTGGAATCATGTCATCGGAAATGAGGTCTTTCCTTCCTCTGTTGAACAGTTGGCTGACATTCAGTCTTAGCAATAATCATCCCACCAGCCAGAGACACTGAAGCTTTACAAAGACATGAAAGAAAACCGAATGGTCAGCTTCCCAATAGCTGGAGATTCCCCTATGGGTGTTTGTTAAATGTGTGAAGGGCTGTTCTCCCTAGGAAAGCTGCCTTGCTGTGTGTGTGTGTGTGTGTGTGTGTGTGTGTGTTGCTGGGGATTGAACCCAGGGCTTCCCTCATGCTAGGCAAACACTCTACCACTGACATATTCTTAACCCTTCTTATCTTGAGGCAGGGTCTTACTAAGTTGCCCAGGCTGGCCTTGAACTTGCAATCCTCCTGCCTGGGTCGGGGCTGAGTAGCTGGGATTGTAGGTGTGCCCACAGGGTCCAACTCGGCCTTCCTCTTGAGAGCATCTGTCCCCATCTGCTGCCATGTGTCCACACACAGTTAACCTTCCCTTGCACTGGGGAYGGGGTATGCCAGGTTTGGGGGTGAAGCTACCACCTCCTTTCCCAAAGAAAAATATTTTTTCAGAAACACATGTTTCATTTATTCATTCTAGAAAATGGGCTGACAGGGGCTAAGTAGAATATCTATAATAAATTTGTTATGTATAATCACCTTATTGTGGCTGAAATGTTAGAAACTATATTAAAAAAAAAAAAAAAACAGTCCATCAGAGCCTGCTGGTGTTAACTAGTTCAGTTAGTAAAAAGGAGGCTGTGGGCATGCCATGTCCTAACTGCCACAATAGCAAACCACAAAGGAGACCAGCACTTCCCAGGTTAGAAATTCTTCTCTATTTCAGGGTATAACTTCATTCAAACTCAAAGTTCCAAGATGAAAAGAGTTTAAAGATAAAACAAGCTAATTTACTTCCAGGCATGCCTAGTGGAACTTTATGGCAATTTTTTTTAATGTTCCTTTTTGAACTCCAAAATATGTTCATTTAATTTTTTYCCCCCTTCTTTCTTTAGAGAGACCAATTTAAAGTTCAAAATGGCGCTGGAAATCACAGACCAGTATCTCCAAAGAGAAGACAACTTAGCAACATTTGATGGTTAGTACAAAAGGCATCTTACTTTGTTTTAAATGTTATTTATTTGATTTTCGTGTCTGTTGAACAAGTCTTTTACATGGGATTATGTGAACCGTATCTTTTTTTTTTTTTTTTTAAGGTTTTATTGAATGTGAAGAACCCAATAACCGACTAGATAAGTTCACAGGAACGCTGTTTTGGAGAAAGAGAAGTTTTCCTTTGGATGCTGATAAAATTCTGTTACGTGGCTGTGTCATTAGAAATACTGATGTCTGCCATGGACTGGTAATCTTTGCAGGTACTTTCAGAGTTTCTTAGAAAATTAATCAGCTATGAGCTATTAAGATTTAAAGTAGGAAATTGCTTTTCTGTCCTTTTCCCCTTGAAGCCAAAGAAAGACTAATTTTATTGACATGCTAGTTAATTGATTTTTCCCAATTGTTGATCCCACTGAATTTTCCATTTTTAGGTGCTGACACTAAGATCATGAAGAACAGTGGGAAAACCAGATTTAAAAGAACTAAAATTGATTACTTGATGAACTACATGGTTTACACGGTATTTATTTTCCATTTCAGTGGATAAGAGAATATACTGCTGTCTTTTGCTCTAATTTTATTGTCTACTTTTCTAATGCAAGAAAATCTCTTTAAGTGGGATAGAAATATGCTTGGGCACTCCACGCCCTAATGGGAAGTGAGGGTGGAGGGGAAGAGCCTTCCCTTTTTCTTGGAAATGCCACATTTCTAGCAAGAAAATCCTCCAGGAAAGGGAAGTTCTGGTGGTAGGCTCCCCTGAGTCCTTTGGCTGGAGGGAGACCAGTTGAAAAACTAGGGAGATAAGTGGGTGGGGCTGAGCTCCTGAAGTCTTGATCTGATGGCTGTTTGCTTTCCTCTTATCTTGTTGTTGGTTTTGTGCAACATACACCCTATAAATCCGATTGTAAGGCAAGGCAAAAAGGTGTGTTGAGAGGGTCCTCAAGACCACACCCACCTTGGATGACAGACTGGGACCACTGGTAGGATTTAGCATATAGTTTTACTAAGGCTTTGCCTTATTGCAGCAAAAGGATGCAAAGCAAGATAGGCAAGAGGCATGTGATGCAAAGTCCAGAGGTACAAGCTGTCGAGGGGCCTCTCCCAGCAGAGTCACACACAAGAGACACTGAATTCTCACAGTAACAGTGTTTGACAGCAATGTGAAATGTTGTCTTCCAGGGAAGCCCGTTAGACACTCTTGGCCAGGATTTTTAATATGGGGCTGGGCATGTAGGTGCCATCTGCCTGGCAGGCACCAAAATTCCAGACTCCCCAAAGGAAAGCAGGTGGTCAGCATATACTGTGTCGTTTGCACAGTTAGGCGGGAGCCACTTTTATCAGAGAATAAGAAATAAGGGACCAGGAAAGCCTCCCACAATCTAACTTCCCAGATGCCAGCCCAGGGTCAGCCTTGCAAGCAGCACTTTTGGGGAGACCAGTCTTAGGCCTGATGAATTAATTCTTCTCTGTGTGTAGGGTGGCCCCAAATATCAAGCAGTTCTCCAACTTCCTAAATAAAGTTGTTGTTCAAATACTTAGTCCTAAAAAACCCTTMGGACTCATAAAATTAGAATTCTGTAATTTCATCTACATATTTAAAATCATATAAAAGTAATATGGTGACTTAAAGAACTGCCCTTAACCCTGCTTTCATATGTCATGAAAATTAAACTTGAACTTGGCCCATTCACCCTCAGTGCCATCATGGTCATGACTAGAGCACTCACAGAGCCCATCATCTCTCCTCTGAGCCAAGAGGTTGTGAGATATAGCACTTTTGAAATCTGTGTCCAGAAACTTAAATTTGTCCCTGGAAATTTTATCCCCACTCCCAAATACGCAAACAACACTAGGACACATTCATCTCTTAAGTATTTGTTCAACATTTCTGCAACATTATACTTGTCATATTGCTTCTTGATCTTGTTTATAGTGCTTTATAATCCTTATGATATTGTACTTTCAGAAATAATTACCCAAATACCGGTGACATTGCCCTGCCTTTCTTTCTTTCTTTCTTTCTTTCTTTTTTTAAAGAGAGAGAGAGAGAATTTTATTATTTATTTTTCAGTTTTCGGCGGACACAACATCTTTGTTTGAATGTGGTGCTGAGGATCGAACCCGGGCCGCACGCACGCCAGGCGAGCGCGCTACCGCTGAGCCACATCCCCAGCCCTGCCTTTCTTTTCTTCTTTTCTTCTTTTTTTAATAATTTTCCTTCAATATTTTCCATAAGTATCCCAATTCAGCGTTGTTTGAAAGTGTTTCWTGCTAGAGCAAGGTATTTTCCCAAACTGCAAGTTATTCTTCAGAGTCAGAGTAATTGGGAGAATGCCTGTAATATAAAGTCTCTAAGAATTTCAATATAAAACACCACCTTCTCTTCTGAAAGATAATTTTGGGATGAAACCTCACCATATATGTGTAAGGTAGAATAAACTCATCAATCATAACAATCAAATAGACTTTCAGAGCATTCTTATGGTACTCTTTTAAGTGCATTATTTTTACAGACTATCAAGTTATCTTAAACACAGTGTGGAACACGGTGAGTTAACATCTGAGAAGTGCATCAGGTTGGAAATCCATCTTCTCTTTGGAATACATTTACGTGTTTTGTGTCTTCTAGATCTTTGTTGTTCTCATTCTGCTTTCTGCGGGTCTTGCCATCGGCCATGCTTATTGGGAAGCACAAGTTGGCAATTATTCTTGGTACCTCTACGATGGAGAAAACATCACCCCCTCCTACCGTGGATTCCTGAATTTCTGGGGCTACATCATCGTGCTGAACACCATGGTACCCATCTCTCTCTATGTCAGGTGAGGCCATCCTGTCCTTAGCCTCTTGCTTTTAGGGAGAACTGTAGTATCTTTTCCCAACTTGGCACATTTGKGTCTAGCGATAAAAGTCTCAAAGGTCAAAAGGAATAGGTAAAAAAATAACTTCTATTTCAGAATTGAGGATAAGATGTGGGAAGGAAATGAATGGGCCTACTCTGTGCCAGGTACCTTCTATCCTTACAGATAAGGCCACTGACAGTGGAGGTCAAAGGCTACAATCCCTTACTTGGGAAGATTCCTTCTCAGTGAGTTCCAAAGCCTAGGTTTCCAGAAGGGCCTGGGAGAAAGTGAGAGACTTGGAATGTCATGGAAAAACTTGCTTTTCCATTTCGCAAGTCTTGCTTCCCTCTTATAGGAGACTTCTTCTTCTTCTTTTTTTTGTTTTTAGATGTTGATGGACCTTTACTTTATTCATTTATTTATATGCAGTGCTGAGAATCAAACCCAGTGCCTCTCACATGCTAGGCAAGTGCTCGACCCCTGAGCCACAACTCCCCCTCCACCCCTGACCCCCAGCCTTCTTCTTGACATCTGCCACACCCATGCTTACTTGTGGAAGCCACTGACCTTGCTGCTAAGACCTCCTGGTGGAAAAGGTGTCCCGCCTTACTCCACCCTCTCCCAAGGTTCCATTTCTTATCTTAAGGTCAGTTCCAATCCCTATAGAAAGTCAAGGTTGTACCCCTGACAAGTGGCTGTCTCCGTGTAGGGTGCTGTGTCTTCTCTTCCTGTTTTGCTCTTATTTCCTATCAAATTCATTGTCACTGGCCAGTTGGACTTTAGAGGGGCTACGCCTTGGAATATATTGACAGTGGAGTCAGTTCTTGGTTTCAATCAGTAATAGCCTGGAGGAAATGGACTCACACACACACCCCTATAATTAGATGCATTTATTTTATTCTAATTTTATTATATGTGCATTTGTTTTGTTTCTAATTTTATTACATGTTCTTTCTGTTGCTCTTTTAATGGGAAATCATGCCCTGGGGCAGGCTTTTGTACCAGCTACTCTAAAAGAGTCTAAGACAGTGCTCCCTTGTTAAGAGAGCCCTCCGTTATATGGATTATTTTGTACAAAGCTATAAAATAATACCATATGCAATTTGGCTGATGTAACKTCTTTATTTCTCTTGGAAATCAAGGTCCTTTTAAAGAGTAAATCAAATCAAGATGGTATCTCTGTTTTTTCTTCTCCTCCCTGGCAGCTTGGGTGTTGTTTAGTATGGAATCATCAAGGCCACAGGGTCACACCCAGGGTCCAGTGGGATCTGGTGTTCAGTGCTCCAGCCCCACCCCTTGGTCCTGCCCCTTAACCCTGGCTCTTGCCACTCCAGACCCTTGATGCCCTTCCTGCCACAGGACCTTTGAGCCTTCTCTTATCTCTGCCTGGAAAATTCTTCCCTAGATAGCCTAATGCTGCTTTTTCATTTTCAGGCCTCATCCCCCCGCCTTTCCYAGTGCTCCCTGTTATGACCAAGCCATCTCTTCCCTGTTGCTCTCTATCTCCCCTTCCCCTGCTTTGCTTTTGTGCAGAGAACCCTCAGCACCCAGTAAGTACGCGTTTACTGGGTCTCTCATTTGTGTGCCTTCCCAGGTGATAACGTGCTGACAGACTGGGTTTCCTTCTGCTTTGCTTGTGGATATATCCCCTGTATCTAGAATGGTTTTTGGTACCTAGTAGGACATATTTATGGAAGGAGGACAGGGAGGAAGAGAGTTATCTTTCCATCATTTAACTTGTTATAAAAAGATCCTTTGCTCGCTTAACTATTGCTGAATATATAAGTGGCTTCCTTCTAACTGAGATGTGCTTAATTCCTATGGTGCTTCGGTTTTGCTTGTGTTTTTGTACAGTGCCGGGGATCAATCCCAGAGCCTCATTCATGCAAGTGCACTACCACTGAGCTAGGCCCTAGGGCCCCCTAGTTTCAAAATTGAGATGATTCTTTTTGAATATCTTCTTTTGAACATTCTATAACCTAATAAAATTTAGAAAAAATTTCACAGTGAGGGATCACAATTTAGGAATTATTTGCCAAAAGACTGTTGCCCTATAGGAGAACACTCAGCAGTCTGTCACCTAGTGGGCCCATGTCCTCTTTGTCCTACAACTGGAGACAGAAATGAATACTGCCATCCCAGTTGTCCCTGGGAATGATGGGGAAACACAGTAAGATRACTGCACCTGGGCACCATCCACAGGGGTCCAGGTCACCTGAGCTGTGGATTTTGGACATGGCACTCCATGGCCTTGGCCTGATGTGCAGGAGTGAGTGGGAGGTCACAGTGAGCAGGATGCTTTGAGGAAACACTACTCATCTAAAGTCAGCTTGACCCTGACCTGAAGGACAAAACAATGGGTCRGGAGAGCTCAGAGGCTAAGCACACGGCCACGCATGACTTGTCTCTCTCTCTCTCTCTCTCTTTTTTTTCTTTTTCTTTATTTGGTACCAGGGATTAAACTCAGGGGCAGTTGACCACTGAGCCACATCCCCAGCCCTATTTTGTATATCATTTAGAAACAGGGTCTCACTGAGTTGCTTAGCGCCTCACCATTGCTGAGGCTGGCTTTGAACTTGCAATCCTCTGGCCTCAGCCTCCCAAGCCGCTGGGATTACAGATGTGCGCCACCACCACTGGCTATGGCTGGTCTCTTTGAAGAGGTCTTAGTTTGTTTAGGCTGCTGCAAAAGAATGCCTTTACCTGAGTAGCTTGTAGACAACAGAAACATATTGCCCACACTTCCAGAGGCTGGGAAGTCTAAGATCCAGGGYGGGCACTTTTGGTGTCTGGTGAGGGCCACTCTGCGTCCTAGGTAGCACCTTCTTGCCGCATCCTTAAAGGGCAGAAGAGGCAAGCAAGCTCTTTTATGAGATCACTGATCCCATTCAGGAGGGCTTTGCTTTTAGAACCTAATCACTTATGAGAGGCTCTGCCTCAATATTGTGTTGGGGATTGTTTTGACATATGGGTTCTGGGGGCCACCAATATTCATCCCGTAGCAGTCGATGGCAGGCCTGTGTGCACAAGTGAGGCTAAAATCCACCGCTGCCACTCACAGCTCAGAACTCCACACAGAGTGATCTTTTGTCTTCCTAGTGTGGAAATAATTCGTCTGGGACAGAGTCACTTTATTAACTGGGACCTGCAGATGTACTATTCCGAAAAGGACACGCCTGCAAAGGCGAGGACCACCACGCTGAATGAGCAGCTCGGCCAGATCCAGTACATCTTCTCGGATAAGACAGGGACACTCACGCAGAACATCATGACCTTCAAAAAGTGCTGCATCAACGGGCAAATCTATGGTGAGTGCGAGTGGGAAGGAGGGGGAAAGCCAGACCTTGGCCATTTCCCAAGTGGACTGCGAGCTCAGATGATCTTGTCTACAAGATGATTTCAGAGAAATGCTTCTATCTACAAGACGCGGGTGTGTTTTGGGTCTGAAATAGAAGGAATGGTTGGCTGTTGAATTATGGTAGAAGATTCATTTCCTGGGTGCTGCCTAGAGCTGAACCTGCCACCCTAGAGTCACTTGTGCCCTCCCTATACAGATTGCTGCTGGCACAGGCCCCCAGCTGAGGGCTAAAGGGGCATAATGGACACTGCTGGGAACACACGCCTGGGAGAGGTCAGCAGATGGAAACGGGCACACGTTGCCAGGCACAGTGGCACAAGCCTGTAATCCCACAACTCTGGAGGCCAGGGCAGGAGGATCACAAGGTCCAGGCCAGTCTGGGCAACTTAGTGAGATTCTGTCTCAAAATGAGAAGGTCTGGGGATGTAGCTCAGTAGCAGAGGGCCTCTGGGTTCAATCCCCAGTAACACACACACACACACACACACACACGTACATGCCCCTCAAAAAACTAAACATTGAAATAGCCAGCAATTCCACTGCTGGGTATATATTGTAAGAAATTGAAATCAGAGATTCAAAGAAACATTCGTGCACCCACATTCATAGCAGCATTATTTACAATAGCCAAACTGTGGAAGCAACTCCAGTGTCCATTGATGGATGAATGGCTAAACAGAATGTGTGTCTGTTTATCTATAATATGTGTGTGTTTACACACACACACACACATATATAGTGGAACATTATGTGTTTCCTTAAAAGGAAGGAAATTCTGATACATGCCACAACGTGAATAAACCCTAAGGTCATCATACTAAATGAAATAAGCCAAAACCAAAAAGGCATATGAGTTCACTTATATGAGGTACTTAGAGTAATCAAATTCATAGGAACAATGTAGAATTTTTACTAGGTCATTAGGGAATGGGGGCAGGGTAATAATAAATTATTGTTTAATGGGTACAGTTTTAATTATGCAATGTAAGCACTCTTCTGGATGGACGTGGTGGTGTTGSTTGCACGACAGTGTAAATATACTTAATGCCACTGAACTGTGCACTTAAAAAGGGTTATAACGGTAAGTTTTATGTGTCTTTCAGCACAACTTTAGTAAAATTGATTTCTAATTTTCTGAAATATGTCTTACATTTAAAAGCAACATTAAGGCTAATCCTATATTTAAATAGAGTGCTTTTAAATMATTTAAGACAATGTATTTTGTTTTAAACACAGCACATGAGTATTCTTTCCACTTATGGAAAACTTTATATTGTGAATGTGGTTTCATTTGAGTGAGGAAGACTAGGAACCTGGTGGCAGGTATAGCATTTCAAAGGACAAGGAGGGTCAGGTATAGCATTGCAAAAGAATAGGCTCAAATCTCAAAAGAACAGAGGAACAGGCACTAGTATTTGAAACTCTAGTGAGGGTGGCAAATTATTTTTGCAAAAAGTCACATAGCATATATTTTAACCTTTGTAGGCCCTATATGGTCTCTATTCTTTATTTTCAATTTTTATCCAACTCTTAAAAAATGTGAAAACTATGTTAACTTCAGAACCATCCATGTGTAGGCTCTGAGGTGTGTGTGTGTGGGGGGGGGGCCCTCTGGACACAAGTAAAAGAGACTTAATTTGTTTTGTCCTGTTTGCTTCTCAGGAGACCATCGAGATGCCTCTCAACACACTCGTGGCAAAATAGAGGTGAGTCCTTTAGCATGAGGAACTGCTGGGATCCATGTTAGTTTTCTAGAGCTGCCTTAACAAATTACCCCAAATTAGGAAGCTTAAGATAACAGAAATCCATTCTCTAATGGTTCTGAAGGCCATATGCCCAAATAAAGGTGTGGCAGAGTCAAACTTCCTTGGAAAGTTCTAGGGAGAATTCTTCTTTCCCTCCTCCTAGCTTCTGGTAATTGCCAGCAGCTCTTGGTGTTCCCTGGCTTGAAACCCAGGCCTCCAATCTCTGCCTCCATTGACACATGGTGCTCTCTCTCATAGGACACCTGTCCTTCCATTCTAATCTCACTTGGCCTCAGCTTGGTTACATTTGCAGGGACCCTATTTCCAAAAAAGGTCACATTCATAAGTACCAGCAGTTGGAATGTCTACATATCTATTAAGGGGACAAAATTCAACCCACCATAGGATGCTTTTTGTTTTAAGACAGGTGTAAACCTCTTTTCACATAAGTCAAGAATGTACTAAAATCCACCAAACATGATTATGGCAGCACATGCCCTTAATCCTATACACTTGGRGACTGAGGCAGGAGGATTGCAAGTTTCAAAACCAGCCTCAGCAACTTATTGAGACCCTGACTCAAAATAAAAAATAAAGACGGTCCACATCAGGATTCCCAGCTACTTGGGAGGCTAAGGCAGGAGAATTGCAAGTTCAAGGCCAACCTGGGCAAATTAATATGCCCTCATCTCAAAATTTCAAAAAAATTTAAAACAGGCTGGGGATGTAGGTCAGTGGTACAGCACTCCTTGGTTCAATCTCCTAGTATTACTAAATAAATAAAGCTGGGAATGGGCTAAAATCCAAAATGTTATTTTTACATAATTAAAAACTTGACTTCAAAGAAAAGTTTGTATCAATTTTTAAGCCAGATTTTTTTTAATCGCCTTTTTGTTTTCTTCTGAATTTCTTTCAGCAAGTTGATTTTAGCTGGAATGCATTTGCTGATGGGAAACTTGCATTTTATGACCATTATCTTATCGAGCAAATCCAGTCAGGGAAAGAACCAGAGGTGCGGCAGTTCTTCTTCTTGCTTGCTGTTTGTCACACGGTCATGGTGGAAAGAATTGATGGTGAGTGTTTCTCTGGCATCTCAGACTTTGGAGGCTAGTTTTTTGGTTTGCAGACAACTCATGCTCTGCTTCCCATGCATGTTTAGTGGTCTGCATGGTAAACTCAAACGGTGGATATGAGCACCTAACGCTAGATGGTGTATGGAATAACAAAGATTTCTCTGAAGTTTACATCTGATTCACAATTATAACTCTGGATGTGTTTATCACTTTGAAAAAGAAACTTTATCATTTAAAGTAATGATTGGCTCTTGAATTAGGATAGAATCAAACTCTTTCTACCGAATTACTAATGTATGTTGCCAATGTAAAAATCAGGCCTTATCTGCATTGCAAGTAGACTTTAAACTTGAACAGACTTTTCTACAAAATGATTTCAGAGATCTGTTTTTACTTCCTGGATTCCGATATGTTTTGGGCTTGAAYGTATCAGCCAAAGCCTGGATCTCTTTAAGGTCTCTTTCTCATTTAAAAGTGCATTTGCATGGGAACAAGCAAGGCTGAAGTTCATTTTAAAATCCAGTTTGTGCCAACTGTGCTAACAGCATATTCATCCAGTATCATGAAAACAAATTGTTTTGTCATATATGGACATAACAAATTATTTAGATACAAATGGACATTGTAGAAAGAGCAAAAGGAATTCTTTTGATATATCTATGGTGGTGCACAGTCTGCCTTCTCTTCATTCATTCACTTTACCCCATTCTCTACRTTTTACTTTAATCACTGAGTACATAAAAGTCCCTCTTGGAGAAATTCCTATCTTTGTTTTATATGTAACTGATATAAAATCTCCAGGAAAGGAACAGGCCTAAAAACTTAAATATGTAGAAGCCATATAGGATATCTTTCAGCAAGTTTCAAAAAGGCCCTTCTCCAAGGTGARTTTAATAGTATAATAAAGTGAGATGTGAGAGTTCAAAGTGGGATGGATCCTGTTAGCAGCGAATGGGGACAGGTGGAAAGAGCTGATGTCAGGTCATGAATTGCCAAAACAGAGGTCAAAGTCTGTTTAAATAGCCAAGCAAATTTTACTTGCACAATAAGAATGAAATATAATTTTAAGCATCCTGCTTCCCTTAGGTTCTGACTCATTAGTAAAACTCTTCTTCTTTTCTTTGAGTGCTAACTGGACATTTTAGGCCAWTACCCATTAATCTTACAGTTTCTATTTGTTCCCACTTGGATRTTACTGGCGGAGCCCTGGACTGTGTGTTCCAGATGAGCCCGCCCAGTTTTGGGTCCTTCCTGCACACCTGCTTCTTCAGTGTTGCAGTAAGGAGGCTGATGTCCAAAGTCTCTAACAACATAACATTCTGCTGCTCTTTGTCACACTGATAGCTAAGGTGAAGGCCCGTATGTCCTGAGGAGTCCTTCAGTCAGTAAATGGCGTGCACTTGATCTAGCCACTGGGAATGAAGACAAGTTAAATTTCTAGGTGCAGGAGGTTAGAGAAGAATGATGGAGATTAAGTTATTTTTTATTACGTATAACATCATCAATGGAAGGAGGAAATCCTTTCATATATGTGGCCACAAACTTCTGACTTTAGCAGTCTGTGTGGCCTGTGTGTTAAAAACATGAAGAGGTCATGTATGGAGACCCTTGCCCTAGTTTTCTGTTACTCTGGAATCAATTAGGGCAACCTGGCAGCTTCAAGTACCTGCTTATAAGCTCCCAATTCTATAGGTCAGAAGTCTGAGCTTGGCTGTGACCAAGTTCTCTGCTCAGCATCTCACTAAAATCAAGGTGGAGCCATGTTCTCATCTGGAGCTCTGTGTCTTCTTCCAAGCTTATGTAGTTGGGGYAAGATTCAGTTCTCTGTGGTTGCAGGACTGAGGTCCCCACTTCTCTGCAGACTATCAGATGGGCTTGCTCTCTACTCCTGGAGGTTGCCCTCAAATCCTTGTCGATTGGTCCCCTATCCTCAAAACCAGTGGTAGAGACTCTGCCTTACATTGAAACCCTCTCAGGATTCAAATCTCTCTCACAAGGCAAAGCCCTTGGCCCTTTAAGGGCTCACCTAATTAGGTTCAGAACCTTTGGATAATCTTCCTATTTTAGGGTCAACAGGGTAGGACCTAAATTAAATTTGCAAAATCCCTTCATAGTAGCCCCTCGGCTAGTGCTTGACTGAATAGCAGCAGAAGGTGTGTGTCTGCCATTGGGGTGGGAACCTTGGGTGATGGAAACTCCTGCACCCACAGGCCCTATGAGAGCAGAGAGGCTTGGGAGCCTCTTCTTTGCCTGGAGGTCTTAAATCAGTGAGCAGAGAGCTGGCTCTAGGAGGCCTCAGCCTCACATTGGGTGTGATATTCTGGAGCAGAGAGACAACAGGCCTATAGGGAGGCTGGGGGCCTGGATTAGGGTGGGTTCTTGGGCAGGATGAGAAAGTCACAAATATGGRAGACATTTGGTAAATGATTTGAAGGGGATGAGAGGATTGTGGGGAAAGAGACATCTGAAGGTTTTAAGGCTGGTGACTGGAAGATCTGAGATCCTATTTTTAGCCAGAAGAATCGAGGAGATTAGGATAATGAGTTTATAAGAGGTGGCAGTTATGATTTTAGCATTTTTTAAACATCAATTTCACGATGCACAAATTACTCTGTAAAAGGGAAGAATGTCTCTCTGTTTGCCTTAAGTGTACGGTAAAGAGTTCTCTTCAGGCATTTGTTAGCCAGGTTTCTTCCTGCAAACATAAGGTTGAAGTTTGGACGGGTCTTCCTAGTCTGCCCGCCTGGGGTTCCATTACCAGATCCTAATGGAAGGGTTTTCTTTTTTATTTAATGATAAAGATATCAAGGTGTTGGCTCCAGATAGAGTTGCCTCACTCAAGGAAAGTTTGCCATGTTTTATTATTTTGTTTCTCGCCTCTGTRGGAAGCAAGTTTGCTGTTAATATTATGTAAGGTGTCTCTGTGCAATGAAGGGAGGCACTTTGTTCTCACTGCTGCTTGCTTAGCTCTGGGTAAATAGTTTGCCTCTGGCATTTGTGCATGTTTGTAGAATGGCTGGATTTAGCAAGTACGTTTATAACTTCTGGTGTATGACTTTCCAGATGAACAAATAGACAGCCTACAGTGCCATCTTTAATTATTAATTGGAAAATGATTAATGATGCCTTAATTAGAACAAATTATCCACAGCAGCTTGAGAAGGAAGGAGAATGGGCAGGGCAGTTTAGTTCTAAGTCATTCACCCTGGAGCAGCCTGCCCTGCCAAGCAGACTGAGGTGGGAAGAACTGCCCATGTGCCCATGGTATGCATCTGGTCACCCTGTGTTGGAAAACTAAATACTCTYTTCCATAAAAATTCCTCTGGCTATGTTGCTTTGAAGCAGAATAATTAGGAAAGAAAATAGAAAATCTTGGGTGGGCAGAGTATTTTTTTTAAACTTTTTAACTGCAGTATAATGTGTGTATAGAGTCATGCCCACACATGACTATCCACAGCTTATAGCCTTTTATGRGCACCCAGACTTATTTTAAAAAACGGTATAACTAATTAGAACAAAGAAAATATATAAACTATCAACCCAGAAGTCCCTTTCGTATTCCTTAAAGTTATTATCCCTCCAGGAAAATGATCTCCTAACTTTGAATATCAGGGGTTAGCATTGTAAGTTTTTCAGATTACGTGAGCAGAATCTGTGCTCTTTAGTGTCTGGCTTCTTTTACCCAGGATTGTGAGATGTATCCTTGTCCCTGTGAATAGAAGGCAGTTTCCCACTATTTAATTTTTAAAAATAAAGAAACTGATCAGAGGGACAAAGGTTTTTTTTTTTTTTATGAGACTATAGCTGTGGTGAAATAAATACACTCTTCTAAAGTGGGATCAACGGGCATGACCCTCTTGAAAAATAAATTAGTAATATGGGTTTTCAAATAATAAATGTAGGGCTGGGGGTGTAGCTCAGAGGCAGAGCACTTGCCTAGAAGGCATGAGGCCTGGATTTCATCCCCAGTCCACCAAAGGAAGAAAAAAAAATCAATGTTCTTTAACTCAATGGTTTCACTACTATGAACCAGTCCTTAAAAAAACAGAGACAGAAAATATTTGCACACACATGCACAATGGTTATAACAATGTTATTTTTTATTTTTATGTTTTGGTACCGGGGGATTGAACCCAGGGGCACTTAACCACTGGGCCACACCCCAGCCCTTTTTTTATAGTTTATTTAGAGATAGAGTCTCACTGAATTGCTGAGACTGGCTTTCAATTTGTGATCCTCCTGCCTCAGCCTCTGGAACCAGGCATGTGCCACTGTGCCCTGTTGACCATGTTATTTCTGAGAGCCAACATTTTTGGAAATAAACTAAGTGCCAATAAGGGGAAAATGGCCACCTGTCCACATATTTAAAAGATTGCTTATGAAGATTCTTTAAAGATATGACAACTTGCTCAAATATAACATTAAAATAGCCAGGTTGTGAATGTCTACCCAGCATGATAGAAACTATTCCAGGAATAGGCGTTTTGCAAAGACTGAAKGTCATGATAAAATGTCCATAGCGTTTTCTTCTGGGTGGCAGAATTATGGGAATGTCCCCCTCTTCTTGGCTAGTTGTTTTATTTCTGGTTTCTATTACCACTTACAATTCAAAACAATAGTTCCGAATTTAACAAGTTTTAATTTGGGTGTGATCCTTGGGAGYCCAGGGCTGGTGTCTTGGGAATGTGTTCAGCTGTGCAAAGGCACCTCAGTGCCCGCCCCCTCCCGGGGTAAGCCCTGCATTTAGTTTTACAGCTTTTCTGGTTTTCTCTCCTTCCCTTGTTAGGTCAGATCAACTACCAGGCGGCTTCTCCCGACGAGGGCGCCCTGGTCAATGCCGCCAGGAACTTCGGCTTTGCCTTCCTGGCCAGGACGCAGAACACCATCACCATCAGCGAGCTGGGCACCGAGAGGACCTACAGTGTTCTGGCCATTTTAGACTTCAACAGCGACCGCAAGCGAATGTCAATCATTGGTAGGTCCACCGCGAGTGGCTGGACGCAGGGTCGTCTTTGCCCGTTTTATTTGGTGACGCCAGGATAAGGCAGGTCATGGATGGACCATTTKGGCTCCTGGGAGATTCCTACAGACTTTCTGAAAAGGGTGTTGTTTCTCTACGCTTCACCACGTCCCTGTGCCAAGGGGCGGCTACGGTGTACCTGCACCTGGCAGAGGCTGGGGCTCTTTTCCACTGCAGGGGCCTCCGGCTGCCAAGGGCGGTGGAGATGCTGCCCACTCAGCTGCTGGCTGTGGGCAGCTTACACACCTCTCTTCGGAGCCAGGCTGTGCTTATGAATCAAAATCGCACCTYCAGGCCACCAAGTGGAGCTGAGGATTGCTTCCTAATTTTTTTTCCAGTTAATAATTTGAAAGGATTTCAAATTTACAGRAAAARATTCAAGGATGGTTTAAAGGGCTGTTGTGTACTGTTTAATATTCACCACTTGTTTATATATTAGTATCCTTTGAATCATTTGAGAATAGGTTACAGACCCAATGCCTCTTTCCTCCAAATAGGTTAATAAGTATTTTTTTAAGAACAGGAGTCTCCCTCCTCCACCGTGCCTCTCTCTCTCTGTGTATGTTTCCGTGTGTATGAATGATGGAAATCTGAGAATTTAACCTGATACAGCATTATCATCTCATCCACAGACTTCTGGAAATTTTACTAGGAAATTTATGTATTTATGGCTTTTCTGGTTCTCTCCATCCCTCCCTCTTTCTCTATTCACTCCCCTCTTTCCACCTTGATCTTTTTCTGGTCCAGGGTTCAGTCCAGCGTGGCACATGGTATCTGGTGATCATGAATCTGAATCAGAAACAGTTCTTCAACCTTGTTTTGATCTTTCATATGTTGACATTTTTCATATGTTGCCCAGTTATTTTGTAGAATGTCCCTCAGGCTGGTTGATCTGTTATCCCCTCAGGATTAGATCAGGTTGGGCATGGTGGCAGTGACACTTCAGAAGGCACATGATGTTGGTTTGCCTCATTCATGGTGACGTTTGTTTGGATCATTTGATTAAGGTTGTGTCCACAAACCTTCTCCACTGCGCTGTGAATGTTTAACCCATAGAAACCCATAGGTTTACCTGTGTACTGAATTCCCATCTTACTAATTGCTTTCTGAGTGCCTGACACTGATCTGGACTGATTATTGTGCCTAGCATCTACCTTGGAGAACCTAAGTCTATTTATTGATCACACTCAAGCTGATTGAATTATCATACATATTTAAAAAAATAAGAAAACACTCATAGGAGTCATGTTATGGCCTGAGCATTGAAGGCAGTAAGTAATATGAGTTGATAGGTAAGAAAAGTTCCTGCTGGTTTGTATGAACATAGAAAATCCTGTGGAAGAAAGCAGTTAGTTCAGGACAGTACATAGTAGGCAGTCTGTACCTTTTTTAAATCCAGGGGTGCTCTACCACTGAGTTACATTCCAGCCCCTTTTATTTTTTGAGACAGGCTGTTACTAAGTTGCTCAGTATGGCCTCCAATTTGTGATCCTTCTGCCTGAGCCTCCCCAGTAGCTGGAATTACAGTCATGTGCCACCACACCAGTGTCTAAATATTTGTTAAAAGAGTAAGTAAGGATACCACCAGGCATGGTGGCACATGCCTGTAATCCCACTGGCTCTAGAGGTTGAGGCAGGAGGATTGCAAGTTCAAAGCCAGCCTCAGCAACAGCAAGGC